TGCTGAGTAGACACTCCCAATTTAGCCCAATGCTTCTCAGCCTTGACTGTACATTAGAATCACCTGGGAGCTTTATAAAACTACATGCCCTAAAGATGTTTAAAAAAAAAAAAAAAACTACATGCCCAAGGCTGCCTCCCAGGCCAGTTCATGGGCATCTCTGGGGTGGATGTAGGCATCGGGACTTCTGACAGCTCCCTGGTGTTACAACGGGCAGGCAGTGTCCATAACCACTGGGTTACCCAGACCCACCACCAAGCAGCTGGTGCCTGGCTAGAATTCAGAGCTCACTCCCATCCAATGAGGCCTTAAAGGGGCATCTGAAGAGACCAAGTCCCTCGTGTTCTTGGAGACAAGAGAGTGGCGGCACAATGAGGGGTGTACTTTGACCTTACTTTCTCCTTGGTGGGAGGTGACACTAGGACCAGAACTGATCCTGGACCAAGATGTGGCCTATTCCTTCTTACCATGAAACCCCTTTTCAAGGTAGGATCTGAGAGCAACTCCTTTATGTCTTCTCTGTTATTGTGAACTGAAAGGTATTGTTCCCTTTAAAAAAATTCACACTGCAGCAGGTGAAGGGGATAGGAGGGAACAAGGTCCTGGCACAGGGCCCTTTCTGCTGCCTCCCGGGAAGTTATTCAAGGCAAGACCTACACGCTCTTCACTCAATTGCTTCTCTGCGAACAGCCACTTCCTTTAACATGCACACCCCTGGTGGACCCCTAGTTCTCAAGAGTTGGGAAGAAAATACTCCCTGATGCAGAGCTGGGCTTAATAATGGAAACGTTGCTTCCAAGAGGCCTTGTTCTCATAATTTTTAAAATAATAACACAGTTTGGGGAAGATTGTTAGAAAACAATTCAGCCTCTGGACTAGGGCTGATCACTGCTTCAGAAAGTATATGTGGGGAGCACCGGAGTCTCACAGATGGGCCCCTTCTCCCTTCTTCCCACCTTCCACGGGTACCCCTCACGTTGCTGTGGCTGCTTTGACGGTGTGTGGGGGGCAGGGGCTTTAATGGCCCTCTGCGCTGTGACGTGCAGCCAGCTCTGGGGCAGGCGTCTCGGCAGCTGCCCGTGTCTGACTTCCTGTGCATGAGGCTAGATCTGGAGACCTGAATTCATCTCCACTGAAGATGCTGTCGGTGGTGGGTGAGAGATAAGCTGTGTCTGGCCCACGTCGAAACATTCAGGTAAGAAGTTAAACGACTAGCCACTCCAGATGTCCTTGTCCATAATGACAGAGGCCGGACCCTGCCAGAATGCAAATGGCCCAACCAAGAGCTGACCAACTCCGAGAGGTACGCACGCAGACCTTTAAACCAGACCGGCCCCCACGTGGTTAGAAGAGCAGCCCTGTGCCCCTAGGAAGCCTTTCCCTGGGACCCCACCGTACACTGTTGTGTTCCTTCTCCATCTCCTTAATTCTCTTTTTATCTTCTTCTTGCATCCTTTCTGCACATTTCACATCTTGCTGTCCATTGCTGGCTCCTGGGAGGGAATGAATTTTATGCTTCTGCCTGACCTCAGTGTCTGCATAGAGCTCAATATATATACTGAGTGCAGTCTCAATATATACATTTTGGAATGATTTTAAAACTAAACTAGGTATTAAAACAACAACAAAAAAAACCCAGAACATCCCTGGAGACTCTCCAATTCAGGCTTTGCTGGTTTTCCTTCCTTTCCCTTCTGCCCCATCTCCCAAATTTATGAGGTCATTTTAAGTTCGGCTCCCTCCTCGCCGTGAGCGATTATAAGCGGCTTTGGGCAGCCCAGTCTTCGCGAGGCTGATAGTTCTGAGACATGAATGCTCCAGCTGGACGGCTGTTAGCAGCTGCACCCTCTCGGAGGGAGAAGGGAGAGAGGCGAACAGGGTGAGGAGGTCAGAGACTGGCAGAAGGATCCCACTCCCTCTTGGGCACCACCTGAGTGTGGAGCCTTGGGCAGGAAGGCTGCTGGGACAGTGTTGTTAAGATCACTGACTTTGTGTGTCTCTTCTGCCTGGTGTAAAACTAGGCCGATTTGTTTCTTCCTTTTTCACTTAACGCTCCACACCCAGCCCACACTCCGGCTGTTTCTTCAGGTTGTGAATATGCCCACAAGGACCACTCGGTGTGATCAGGGGACTCCAGAGACTCCCCCATGGCCTTGCACGAAGGTCTGCTGCACTGGCCAGCCTCGGGCAGGGGGGCCAGCCCCTCCTCCCCGAGCCCCCGGACTCATGAGCCTTCAGGGGACATTGTGAAACACTGGACCAACCTGCATGGAACAAAAAATTTACTTGCTAAAGTTCACGCCACATGCACTAAGTTAGTTCAGGAACTGGATCCAGGGATTCACGTGTCTTAGCATGTTCTGTCCGTGTCTTCTATTGAGAGACACATTTGGACCTCAGGCCAAAGTTGTTCAAATGTGGAGCCCGGACATCCTAACAGCTTATGAGCTCACTGTGGGTCAGTCAGCATGCTTGGTGCTTTCCTTATGTACCTTGTGAGGCAAACATTCACATCTCATTTTATAGATGAAGAAACTTGGAGGCTAAGAAACTTGCCCTTGGCTACCCAACTTGTTTGTAATAGGCCTGAGATTAAAATCCAGGTCTCAAGAGCTTCAAAACCCAACTGCTGTATTTAAAATAGATAACCAACAAGGACCTACTGTATAGTACAGGGAACTCTGCTCAATATTCTGTAATAACCTAAATGGGGAAAGAATTTGAAAAAGAATAGACACATGTATAGGTATAACTGAATCACTTTCCTGTATACCTGAAACTATCACAACATTGTTAATCAACTATACTCCAATATAAAAAAAAATTAAAAACAAAACAAAACAACAAACAAACATACAAACAAAAAACCCCCAATCTCACCAATAGGGTGAACCACGCTATCTTTTTGTAGGCGCATCTGCCACAAGACTGGGCGTTCTTCAGTTGTGTGTAACCACGGGAAGGATACATGTAGTTAATTAGGAATGAATGAATGCATATGGTATAAAACATACTCTTAAATGAATCACACATATTTAAACAAATCTCTAACTTTGATAATGTGATATACAAGGTCATATTTCTACAGCCCTATGATCATTCTCTTGCACCAATCCTCCTTTCCTTTGCTCCCTCTTTGTTCCTTTGCAGTCACTAGGCAACAGCGCACCCCATCTCTTTACCTGTTCCACACCTGCACCTGGGTTAAGTGGTCTCACTTGAAATTCGTGATCGTTATTCTCAGGAGGGGCCCCGAAATGCTGCCTGACCATTACCCGTATTTCCTGCTTCCCCTCACTCTATTTCAGCGTGAAATGGATGATGATTTCACACCTCCTCCTTTCTCCTCAAACCAGTTACCAGCCTCGTGCCCAGATCCTCTGACTTCCCTTCTGTTATTGTGTCCCTGCTCTTATCTCGAGCCAACTTGTCCCCGCGTGCACGAGGTCTCCAATAAAGTTGTCGCTCACCTTTCCACCTTTCCCACATCATTAATTTTCCCCTCTCTACCGATCTTTCAAGGCAGCATGAAAACATGTTGCTGCTGCTTCTTTAAAAAAAAATCCCCCCTTGCTGGCTGCTCTTCCTTCCCCTCCGTCTCCTCGCCTTGCGGTCTCCGGGCCACAGCCTGGGTCTCTCCCCTCTCACTAGCCACACTGACTTCGTAAGGATGTTATGCTGTGTATTTCCGGGCCTGACTTCTAGATATGCAGCTGCCTGCGGGAGAGTCTCCTTTTGGATTTGTAATAGTTGTCCCTCCTGATCTCCAACCCAGTCCCAACCCCCGCCATCCATCATACCTGCTCCGCACCTCCTGCTTTGTCTGCTGTCTTCCCATCTCTCGTAGT